ATGTTGGCCTGTGGTTTGGAACCATGGTGGTTCTTGGCTTCGAGCAACGCTCCTCAGTTCCTTGTCGGCATGGTGTTCGACTGGGCATGGCGGCTCGTGCTCTGTCCTGATGGTTGTTGATGGATCTGGCGCGTCATTCTGGAGGTTAGCCGCCGGTGGCCTCAACGAGGTGCGGTTGGTTGCGACGGATCTGGGTGCTTCTTCTTCGTCGATGGGCAGCTCCGATGGTGGTGGTGGGTTGGTGGCCTTGCCGGCGCCATTGCGGGAAGATGTGCAACTCAGGTGGTGTGGGAGCTTGGGTGAAAATACTGCGTGGCCTTGTGCCGTGACCAGCGATGGTGGCAGTTGCGGTCGTTGCTGACCTTCTTGGAGGCATCGTTGCTTTGTTGTCGCACCCCTCTCACGTGGATCCGGCCATCCGACCTCTCGGGGTGAAATCCTTGATATATGATTAGACAATGGCAACGCCTCAGTGTCGTATTCCCTCTTAGGGGATTCATCTTCGGAGCTCGGCATCGTCGAGCGGTACTGGTGCATGGCGGTGGCTGTGGCGTCTAGGTTTCTGTGGCAACCATGATGGTGGGAGCGATGTCGGCGATGCGACAGTGGTTGAGGTAGTCAGCTCTTCTTCGGCGTGTCCGTGGGGTTGCCTCGGTTTGTTTGTTGCTGTGAAGTTGAAGCTATGGCGGCGGCCCTATGGTGTACGATGACTAGCTGCAGGTGGCCCGTTCGGCGATCTTCCCTGGCACCAACCATGCTGGGTTTCGTCCTTCGTAGCTCTCCGTTAGAGTCGGAGTTGCTCTGTCTGGTCATTGGTGCCTCAGTTTGGCACGGATCTTCATACGATTTCACACAACCTCTTCATTGTGGGTTGAGTCAATGATTGCCTACGACGAAGTCTGAGTCATTGGCTCAGGGTTTAGAGATGACGATAACGCCTCTACGGAAGGTGTGAGGATGATAACGTGTGTGTGCTGTCTTAGTGATGCCCTTCTTGGAGTGGTGTGCCGCTTAGCGGTTGTGATGGTTTTGCCCGGTTTTACATAAATAACTGAGCAATCTGGTTTTCGCCCGATTTTTCTATTTAATTGAGCATCTCTTTTCTTCTTAATTAATGAAGACATGAATCCTGCCACTTTTTAAAGAAGTTGAACATTTTATCCGCAAATTTGCCCTCGTGAAATAACAAGCTACAGTCTAGGACACTCTAGCACTAGTGATTAGACCTAGCCATGGGCAGCCCGGCCCGGTCGGCTCGACCCAACCCGGCCCTAAAAAGCCCGACCCGGCCCGTCCTGATTTTTAGGTCTGACGCCCGAGCCAGGCCTTGCGAACCCAGGCCCAGGCGCCCTAAAAAGCCCGACCCGACCTGGCCCGACCTGATTTTTAGGTCCGACGCTCGAGACGGGCCTTGCGAACCCAGGCCCGGGCCGAGGGATGGCTAGTGATCCAGTCCACACGGAGATGATTTGCATTGCAGTAACGTCAGATGTGCACCGGCGGCGTCCTATGTTGGACTACAGCCTCAAATATGTTTTCTTTTAAATTTACTAGTGAACAGAAATCATCTTCATGTGTGAAACGAAGGTCCTTTTTTATACGCCTGGATAAATGGCAGTACGCGAGAATAACCCACGCATATGCTGCCTGCCTTGTGAGCCACTCTTTTGTTTCCGGCAAATTATATTCCGATTCAGCCAGTCCTTTCCTTCGGCCTTGTGAGCAGATACTGATCCTTGGCCTTTCTTTATTCCTCCATTTCACTCTCATCCATAGCCCAGAGGACAAATTACCAGCAGCAAGCGCAACAGCCAGCCATAAAGACAAGCCGGGGATCTCCGGGCCGGGCCCCACCGCGACAGTGGTTCTTTACGTAATTTAGCCCAAAGCAGGCGGAGAGCAGGGGCACCAAAGCGCAGGGAATCCAACCCAAATGGAGAAACCAGACCAAGGTACGCAAGATAAGGGGGCAAAGCAAAGAAAAGCGACGGCCGGACGAATTCCCGCCGTATATTCCCGGCACCACCGCCACCACCACCACCACCACGGCCACATGGCGCCAGCGAGCCCCGCCAGAGAAAGCACCAGGCCGCGCCGTTTGCTTATCCTGATGGGTGATGGCACCGGTGATCCTCGGGCCGAGCTCGCGCGTCAACTGCGGCGGTGCGGCATCCACGATGACATCGTCGGGATAGACGGACGGACGCGAGCGCGCCGCTGATCCACGGGGCGCACGCGCCGGCTTTTTGACCCGGGCGGCGCTAGCTCCAGCGGCGCTGACGGCGGCGACGACGTGCGCGCGCTGTGGATGAGGGGAGTGCGTGGGACGCTGACGAGAGGATCGCGAGGATAGAATACCATTTCCTTCGCTTTGCGACTTGTGCAAATGCAAAAAATCTAGTGGGCTTCTTGTTTAGATTAGATAGATGCTCCGGTGGTGAGCAGGAAAGCAGCCACGCGGAGGAGCCGAAACGTGGCGCTGCGGTCACTCGGCGGCATGGCCTTTTTTCCTGCCATCGTGCATGCCAAGGGCGTGGCCGTGGCCGCGCGATTTTTATGAACTGAGGAGGCCGTCGTTCATGCAGATGCAGAGGCGTCGATGCGGTCAAACCTCGTTTACGGACACAAAACGGGTCTTGCTCCGGGGGCGGCGGCTCCCCCCCTCCCCTTGAAAAAATGGCATGATGTAATAATGGCGAACCCTGACCAGAGAGAAATTTACTCATCCGGCCTTCACTCCCCTGTTTTTTTAAATGATGTATAGTAGTAGTAGTACTGACATGTGTTCTGTGGGGGCCTTCCGGAACACAACCCAGCATATCCCGTGGCACTTGGATTACAGATTTGAAGTATTAAATGCCCAAGATAGATATACATAAGCAAAAGAAAAGAAAGGGTGGAAAGATAGATATATACATACGTACTCCCTCTGTAAACTAATATAAGAGCGTTAGTGATCTAAACGCTTTTATATTAGTTTACAGAGGGAGTACATTAATAAGCAAAAGGAAAGAGATATAGGTAGGGATATCCGTCCAACGCAGGAGCAAAGAAGGGTGGAAAGAGATGGGGGAGCATGCAAAGAAAGGGGGAGGGGGCTGCTCGAAAGTCCAAAGGCCCAAAAGCGGCCGAAAACGCAAAGATAGACGGGCCACGCTAATCTCTGGCCGTTTTCGGAGGAGGCGTACTCCATTACAGCAGTAGCAATTAAAATTCCAGGAGAGCATTTATTTATAAAGATGTTTTAGTGGGGGAGGATCGAGATACCCTCAAAGACCAAAGCGAGAGCGAGAGAGAGTGTGCGGCGTGAGGCAGAGAGATAAATAAATCCGAATTCGGCCAAACTTCTCTCTCTCCCTCTCCCTTCCCCCCGTTCCATTACATACATACATCCATCCTTCCTCTCCTCTCATCACCACCCTCCAACCTCCCCCCGTCTTTCTCCCTCTCCTCTCCTGGTCTTTGCCAGATTTTCCTCCACCCATTCTCTCCCCGCTCCTCTCCTCTCCACCCGCATCGATCTCTCCGAATTCCGTCCCTCCCTCTCCGCCCATCTTCCTCCAGGGAAGGGATTGATTGGTTCTTCCTCCGTTTCCTGGGCCGATTCTTCCTCCCTCTCCTCGCTCCAGAGGATCGGCAGGAATCAAGACGGTGGATGCGAACGAGTTTGATCTCCGCTTGGATTGTGCTTCTCGCGAGGCGTTGAAAATCTTCTCGGTTTGTTTTTGTTCCATCTCCCTGTTTATTATTATTATTCGCTTCTTGTTTTCTTTCAATCTGCTCGTTCATTTCGCTCCCGTTCGAGTTCTTGGTTCTTTCAAAACATGGTCTCTTTTTCCCTGTTGATGATTCCTCATGGCCCATCCAGCCGCGTGTTTCCTTCGTCGAGCACGCCTTATGCCATGGCAAAACATTCACGGTTTTCCTTACTAGTAGAACAGAGTTCTTCATCCTCATGATGATTTCTCCTCCCATTCTTGGGTGCGCGAGGCAGAGATTTCCTGGCCGTTCTGGGCTGCTCGGCTGGGTCAAAATCGCTTCCCCCGTCGCTGGTCGTTCGATTTCGTGACGGGAGAACCGATCCGCTCCTCGAATCCATCCATGGATGGCTACCTTTCCTTTACTTTTCGCTGGTTTTACCGCATCCTTTCGCAAAACCGAAAGCGAAGGGAAATAAATGCGCGAGAAAAGAGGCCATTTTTTAAGCCTTGCTCCCAGGCACAACCCGTGGGCCCCAGCCCCATCGTCTGCATGCAGCCCGTCCGTCTGTTGAGGCCGCATGCAAGCAATGTGGGAATCACCGTGTTTTTCTCCCTTTTAATTCATTAATTTTATTGAATTAATTATTAAAAAAATGCGCGCATCACCTTTTGCTTGCTTCCAGCCGGAAAATAATAATGCATGCATCAGCGCAGCAGCCAGTGGCCACCTTTGCTTACAGCAGCAGAGCAGAGCAGAGGCCAAACTCGCCATCAAGTTTGGTGTACTGTATCCGCACACACGCCTCACCAAATGCGGCTCACGCCAAGATCGCTTCGGCGTACAGTTAATGCGCTCACGGATGAATCGCTGGATATCTCAGTCCAGGATGGGTGCATTTACTTCCAGATAGCAATGGGGTTATGGGTGTGGCTACTCCCAGAAGCGCACCTTTTTTTTTCTGAATGTGTGTAGATATCTGCTATCTGTCATAGATTAGGCCGCAAAGAGGACTGGATTCGCGGTGTTTTGATAGGGATCGTCTTTTTTGTTGTTGTGCCAAACCTTAATGGAGTAGCAGCATTCAGCATTCCACCATCTGAGAGTCTGCTACTTCCTCTCTTTTTTTTCCCTCTAGGGATGTTGAGATTTCAGAAGAATTTTCTGTTCCAAAATTTCTAATGCGTTTTCAACACTTGTATGTAGGTCACACTTGAATTGCTGGTGAAGAGGTGAACAGCATCTGACATGCTATTGCTGCAGAACAATCTGTAGAAGGACACCCCTTTACCCTTTCGATAATGCAAGGGCAGAGGAATTCTGTCGAACAGCTAGCTGACGTCTTCGGGTTTGATCATGGGTCTGGTTCAGGCAACCCTGTCATGGACCAGCAGGCGTACTGGAACAACATGCTTGGAGCAGCAGACTCGCAGAACCTCCAAGGTTATGAGATGAACCGCGGCGACGGGGCCATTCCGTATAGAAGCGAGGCACATCAAGATGGCCAGTTCTTAGGCTTTTGGGGGTCAGGTGAAGCTAGTTCAAGCGGCAATGCGCTGAACTATGGGAGCTCTAACGCGATCAAAGCTGAGCATCTGAACATTGGTGGTGGTTTGAGGATTGGCGAGAGGCGCCTGGCTGCTGAACACAACCTTTCTCTGGATAATGTGGACATAAGCCTTAATAATGCCAGTAGCCATGATCTATTCGGTCAGAGTTCAAATGCCAACAGCGCCTCTCAAGGCAAACAGCAACATGCTGGCAGTTCCCGTGCTGATGCCACCGCCCAGGCCACGGAGCTAAGATTGCATCCTTACAGAGCTTTCGTTTTAGACGACGAGCAGCCAGAGCCGTTCCCTTCTATGAATGCTTTCCAAAATCCTTTGGGTAATTTTCCCCTGATGCCAGAGGACATGGATCAAAGACCAGGCAGTTCCCTGGATGGTCGTCGTTTAGCTTGCAAGAGGAAAAACATTGAGGGTGTCCATGGGCAATTTTCAGCAGGTGCTAGCACAAGTTTTTCCCACAGAAACGATAATGCCTTCCATGGTATTCCTTCTTCAAGTTTCAATCCAGCTCCTGGTCCAAATGTATCCTCTCATAACTTTTTGTTAGCTCCAAGTTCCATTGAGGAACAACTCTCGCATTATGGAGCTGCTACAGGAATGCCATCTAGTAGCTACAATCATCCCAGTGGAGGCAATAATAATTCAGGAAATTCAGAGAGAAGTTTTCGGGCAAGAACTGCCACCGCTCAGCAGGTTAGCCCCTATGGTGTATGGCCCTCTTCAGGTTCTATCAGGCAACCTGGTTCATGGTATCACCAGGCACCTGCTTTTCAGCGCGCATTTGATGAACTAGAAGAGTCTATGCCTGTGGTCAGTGGAATCAACTTGCAATACCAGCATCCTGGAAATGTAGTCCCTGGTATTCCACAAACCGCACACCGTTTCACTGGCCATGGAGCTTCATCATCAAGAGCTGGCAGTTTGGACAACATAATTCTTGGTAGAGAGGAAGTTACTGGGAGGAATCTTGTAGCTCCCAGCTACCCTAATGCATCAGCCCCTCTTGCTGCAGTAGACATGAGACATTTGGTGCCAGAATTGTCTAACTGGAATTCTGACAATCCTGGTGCTACCATCCCTGGAAATGTGTCTTCTGTATCAAGAGCTAATGCCAGTTCAACGATTAGTCGACCAGCAGGCTCAACATCTCTCGCTCATCAGAACCTGCATCGACGGCATCCTAGAAATTTATCAGAGGTAACTTTCCTCTGTCACGTGTTCATAAGTTTAGTTTTCCACCTTCATTCCTCTTTCTATTAGCTTGATGGAATTTTACTTTTCATTATAGGAGATAGGCCGTCTATCTGGAGCGCTTCGTGGTCCTCAGCACCCGCGCTTAAGGTCAGGGTTTCTATTGGAACGTCAAGGTGATGGTGTTTGGGGTGTTCCATTACCGATGAGGAATAGTAGGGAGGGAAGAAGATTAATGGAGGTGAGTTGACTGACTTTATGTCCCCTTTGATGTGCTTATATTATGATATACCACTGTATTACCATGAAACTGATCGCTTTATCCATGTGCATACTCTCTGTATTCTGTCTCTAGTTACTAGTTATACTAGAGATAACTAGTCAGCAGTTCCTGGATAGCATATATTTCATTGCTACACAGCTTTACTTCTAAAATCAGCAGCAATCTTCTGCCACTATATGGTATTGACCTTTTTACTTGTTACCAGATACGGAATGCACTAGAAATGATTCAGAGAGGGGAGAATGTCAGATTTGAGGTCAGTAATAGCACTTGTCGAATGAGCTTCATACCTATTTTTTATTATTGTTATTATTATTATCATTGTTTT